CATCATTAACCTTGCTTTTAAACCAGGCTTTTGTCAGGAAAAGTGGGTAAGGGGGGGTGAGTAGCACAGTTCCTCTGAGAGTCTCATCTTTTCACTCCAGCAGAAATAATACTGTTTAGGGTGTCTCCTTCTGTTCCCCACCTCACACCAAATGCTGGAGCAGGGCAGCTTGAGCCCAGGTAGAAACCCAAGAAGCTGGATGGCCCTCAAGGCAGATCTGCCTGGCAGAGGGGAAAGGTACCTTCCCATGGCAAATCTCAGGAGCAGCAGAAGCCTCTCCTGAGAGAGGCCAACACAGAACATCACTATGAGGAAAACCAGGAAGAGGAAGCGCAAAAAACAAAAGGAGTTAGAAAGTTTTATGTAAAGACAATCCTATTTTTTAGGGATCCTCTGAATTCAGAGTCACAGGTGGTGCCATTATGCACAGCCTCAATGGCTCCCAGGATTTCATAGACCTTCGGCTCTCTCACCCTCCACCCAAGACCCCCCAAACCTTCTTCACAATGAAGAAAATACTGTTACAGGAATAATTTCTCAGGAACAGTTTAGATTAAAAATAAGCTGTACTACTACCTTGCATCTGCAGGACTTCTTAACTCTGAATGTCATACTGATCTCTGTAATGGCAACAACTCACGCTGCTCTGCAGCAGAGGTACCCAAGCAGCAACCTCCTCACATCTTTCAAAATGAAGGCACTTGTAAGATCACCGAGTATGCTGAGTTGGAAGGGATCCACAAGGATCATTGAGACCCTGCCCTGGCCCTGCACAGGACCGTCCCCAGGAGTTACACCACGTGCCCAAGAATGTTTTCCAAACACTTTCCGAATTCTGTCAGGTTTGGGGCTGTGCCCGCTTCCCTGGGGAGCCTGTTCTGGTGCCCAGCCACTCTCTGGGTGAAGAACATTTTTCTAATATACAACCTAAACCTTGCCTGACGCAACATCAGGCGAGTCCCTCTGGTCCTATCAGTCTCAAGATTCTTGGGGGTCTTGAATATCTACTGTAGTGGAGAAGCAGGGTAGAGTCCAAGGGCTCTCTAAGATCTCTGCATTAAAACACACAAGAGATCTTCTTTGCACAGGAAACCACTCTCTTTTTGAATTTGCCCTCCAAAAGGGGTAGCAAATCAATAAAATGGCAATTTTTATTCCTGCATCTACCAAAGTGCTTTTTCTTGGACAAAAGATAAAGAGAAAAGAATGCACTTTTACAGACTGGGTGGAAACCCAACTGAAGACATTTCACCTAGTGGCTTAATCTGTTACTTTAGAGTGATCATACTGTATCAAGTGATATTTAAAATGAAAACAAAAAGTACTATCATATTGGATTTGACAGTTTTAAAAGACTACAAGTGGATTTTATTTGTTATTATGATTATAAACTATGCAATTCAGTATTTCCTGCACACAGGTATAATATATATATTTTTTTTTAACAAGGAATAAATAAGCATTATTATACATATTTGCTAGATGTGTTAATATCTTTCAAAGGTTAAGTCCTTATTAGTAAAAAACTAGAATTTATAAACATCCAAATTCTCTGGTATGTATACACTTTCAAGCTCTTTCTCTAAAAAATTCTATTTATTATTCTTAGTAGCATTTCCTCATCCAGGTCATCATTAAAAACATTTTCAATTCTTAGAATATACCAAGTGAATTCTAAAGCTAAAAGAAAAGAATATTGCAATTATTTACTGTATCAGATATTTTCGATCCTATTTATCTTCTTCTAGCATAAATTAATACAAAAAAAATTATTTATGCTGCAAAACTAGGCACCATGTAGAACTGTGCCAGTTCTGAAGATTTTAATTTGGTTAAAATGTTTTCTAGACCTCAGAAATTTTCCAAGATTTTTTTCTGAGACTTAAAGCCAAGTGAAACATTTTCTTAAATAATATTTCATTTATCTATTTGATTTTGCTAAAAAGCTGTTACCTAATTGTTTTCTGAGAAAACAGCTAATACATTACTGAACTTATACCTGTGTTAGTCCTTAGTTATAATTTATCAGGAAAGGGAATTTCAGAGAAGCACAGTGCAGTTTTTTGTAGTTTAACTTTTGTTACTGGAACAAAGTAAATCATTTACCCACCATGAAAGACACACATTACTCTGCCTCCTGCACCCCCAAAGGGCCTCCTTCCCCAGCTGCTGCTTGGGCTACTGACTTTGCCACTGGGCACAGAACAGGGACCATCACACCAATTTCACAGTTACATGCCATGGTCCCATGTGTGCTGGGGAAGGTGACAGCATAGGGGGTGGCAGGACAGTGTCAGTAAAGCCCCACTAGAAAGTTCCATGTCAGACAATAGGGTTATGCCATTTACACAAACTTAACTAAACTCAATCCAACAGAATAAACAGCTCTCTCCAGAGCAGACTGCAGTTACTAATCTTCTCCCCTCCTACAAGAGTTTCTCTACACTGTTTGTAAGTCTCAGGAATTATATATTAACTTACCACTGTAAACAGAAGCAAGTAAGAAAATGAAATAGGAAGTCCAATAAATCCAATTCATCCTAAAAAACATAAAATCATTCTTTAGGATATGTTCAATAAAGGCTGTGTAATTAGCTTTATAAAGCACTGCTAAGCCTAACACTGCTTTACACTTGTACTGTTTCACCATTAATTCAAAATGACATTGAAAATTAATTGCAACTGTGACATGCTGTTTTGGCATACCTTTTAACAGCAGAATATTCATTCCTGCTTAGACTGGGAACAATATTCCTCTGAAATGACATTACTAATATTGACTCTCCAGATATTTTAGTAAATACTGTTATCAAGCTAGCAACTTGAACACTCACTGCTTCATATGCTATAAGAATTCTAAGCTTTATTTCACATGCAACAACTCAACCTGTGAAATAAGTTAACCACAAAATACAAACCATAAAGACTCCAACTTGCACTGTCCTGTTGCTATGAAAATCTTTCACTGAATACCAGTGCATTATTGCAATAATGATTACATACCTGAACACATAGTAAGTCTGGATGCATGGATCAGGTTTGCACTCTACTAAAAAAAAAAAAAAAGTCAACACTTTTTGTTAAATATTACTACCTGCAATGCTAACTCATCTTTAATGTTTACTTTGAACGGGTACCGCTTTTGTCAATACTGCTACTGACCTTGGGACACATTTTCAGAACATCTATCATCCACACTGCACTGGAATTCATCCTGTATAACCACACATATGCAACATAGTCTCTCTTTTCTTCCCTATAAAATGATGATAATATTTCAAAACTCCTGGAAAAATTTTCACCTCTATATCAAATTACAGAATTTTTGTGGTCCCTGGATGCAGTCACAAAATCTACCTGTATCTGAATATTTACAAACAAAGTATGCTTGTAATGTATGCTGAACTTACCATTTTTTGTGTTGCTTAACATATATTAGTATTCAATTAAAATAATTGTTTTGCCTCTGTGTGTGTGTGTGTGTGTGTGTGCACATTTAAATTGGTGGCACAAACAGGTTAGAACTTTTGTCCAAGAACTTAGTTTCTCCACTTTTCACTTCTTGTCTGGGCTTTCCTATTCAGATATTGGGCAGTTGTTCCAATAGGCAGTTGTTACTATTTTAATAAAAACAGTAGATATTAGAGAAGATAGGATATTAGAGAAGACAGGATGTTTCAACATACACTGAAGGGCCCCAGTATCTTGATCAAGGCCTGTAAACTGCCAAACAGTAATTCTTGGGCAAGTTGTATGTTGTATGTCAATTACTAGCCTGGAATGAGGTAATTTGGGCATACAACAAATGCTGAGTCTTTTGCTAAGTGATAACTTTTGCCTTTCTTTGATCAAAATATTTTGCAATTTCAATGAACACGTAATACCTCCACAAGTTATACTCCAGGCATCAAATAGGAAAGTCCATTTGTTAAACAAAAGATAGAGTTTTACTCAGCAGAGTATAACTAAGAGACTCTCATTTTCAGAAGAATCTCAGATGCATGCAGTTTTTTGGTTTAGAAAGTGAGTTAATTTAGTTTTTAATCTTTTAACCCATGCAGACCATGAAGGGCATCTTCTAAATATTACCTGACTATAAACTGAGGTGCTTCTATACTGGGAGTTTTGTCAGGGTGTGGCACAAATACTCCTTTAGGAAGAAAATTGGAGTAGGATTCACTGACTCTTTTAGCTGCTGGAAAAGAAGATGACACATGAGATCAAACATGGCAAAATTATTTGTTTGTAGCAGCATACTAACATTTATATATCAGGTTTTTGTCTTTTACAGCATGAGGATTATATTCAGGAAGGCAGGTGGATATCTAGTATGCACCACTATTCCACGTCCTGCATGTGTCCAAAACATGCATCTTTCAGAGACCAAAAAGCAGTTTGTGTAAAGGTGGCTGGGAAATTCTAGTGCCTCAGGGCACCTACAGGTGCTCTCAAGCAGAACTTCGCAACAGAGGGAGGTCACACCTTGCCTGTTGTCAGTGTTACTTGTAACAGCGGTAAACCATGATCCAGAAAACACTCACACATTCCATTTCTGTCATCCCAGTAGAAAGTCATGTCCTTTCTGACACCTCACAAAAGGGATCTTTATAGAAAGTGTGATCTTTTGGTTTAGAGATCAGCTGCTACCTTAATACCACAGCAGATACCTACAACTCTGGAAAAAGATCACAAACAGCTACTATGCACATGCAGTTTTTATTACACAATATTTTATTGTCTCATTATTTTATCAGGAAACCTGCAATGCCGTGCTGCATGCCACAATCCTACAGAACATTCCCCCCCCCCCCAATAAAACCCCAAATCAAACAAAAAAAGCCCACAGGAAACTAACAAACAAACCCCCACATCCAGAGGATTGCTGCTGACCACTACCAACAGCTACACACCACATGATTTAACCTAATAAAAACACACTAGACAATGAAAGGTATTTAACATCTATCCAGCAGACACAAAGTTGGCTGTATGTTCAGTACTGTTTTCCTCAATATTTATTTCCTTAGCAGCATCAGATTGCTTCAGAACCAATTTTTACAACAGAAGATAAGAGATCACTGCCATTTCAGAACAGCTCAGAACACAAAGATTATAGGATTACATCAGTGCTCAGTCTTGGCAAAGACACTTTTTGCATCACTAAATAGGGATTTTTCAAATTGGCATCCTCGTGCCAGCATTTGAGCCCATGCACTTTTCATAATGAGTTTCTTTTTATAGTTTTATCCAGTTTTTGTCTCAATTAGTTTCTTGTCCATTTTGAAGAGTATTAAGAAATTATAGGAGATACACACACATTTTATGAGAAGAGCATGGTACAAGAAAAAAGCACAGCGCAAGAAAAAATATTGGTCAGGGTAGATAGAAGTCATAAGAATTATCTTACGGAAAAAAATGTTATAATTTGGTCTATCTTACAAATATTTTTCACAAAAAACATCCCACAGAAGGAAAGGAAGTAATATTAGTTTTCATTTGTCTTGAAAGTCCTTAACTTAAGCACATAGCTTAAGACATGAGGTACCTCTCCAGGTTTCAACTACATGCCAAATTTCCTGAGAAAACATATTCTGGATACTAATCTTATTTACCTTGAAAATTCGCATTGCCAAGTACGTAAAACCATGAAATAATTCCTTAATTTCGAGTCTCTTTGGAAAACTTGTGTCATGTGTATTATATGCATTAACATATGGAGGTGGTCTCAAAAGTTATCTCATTATAAAGAAGACAATGTTTAGATTCAGCCCTGGAAACTGAAATTCTTGTTATTATACAGCAATGAGACCTATCTTTGAAAAAGAAGGCTGAAGAATGCAAATATTACTATTGTTAAAGGCTCTTTTGTCTTAATGGTAAAATAAAGGTAGTGATAATAGACTATTTGTCAAGATCTGTGATTTCATGGTAAAAACTAGGCTTATCAGAATACCAAGAGTTTGGCAGGTTCAAGGAAATCTCTAATTTATTTGGAACAAATAAATCATTATTTGTTATTATTATGATATTCTGCAAAGTATAGCAGTATCCCAGGTATTAAGTGACAAAGTGTTGTTAAAAGGAAACATAGAAACAGACAAGAGAAATAAATCTGTAAATGTCAACAAAATTGAGTAAGAACAGATTACTCCTTTCCTACTTTGTAACACATTAATCATTTCTAGACCAGTCCATATTAGTTTTATCAGCTCTGACCTCCAGCTTCTCTGTGCCAGTCCCCCTCTGCAGGCTGCCCACAGCCCAAGAACAACCTAAAGGCAACAATACACCAGTAGCCCTCAGCACCAAGAGGCAAGAACAACTAAAGGCACGAGTGTGGTTATTGGTGGGCACCCCTCTTTGTACGGCACCAGGTATCGTGCTGGAGCAACACACACCAGTCAAAAGAAGCCCCAAAGCATAGGACACCAGTAAAGCCAGACCAGCTAGAGGACATCAGCTTGGTTTAGCACCAGCTTTTTCTTCAGAGCTTGCAAAAATCAAGGAGAGTCTGTTCTCCAGCTGTATGGCCTGCAGCAGAGTTTGAGCTGTCATGAAGGTACAATCAGAAACTTTGACAGGCACTTCATTCTATCACTGTAATTCCTCTTCAACAACAATTAGCAAAAAACTCTGTATGTTGCCTTCAGGGCACTAGAAGGCAAGAGCACACTGGCTTTGACCAGCATGGTAAAATCTAGTTGATTGATCACCCTAGAGGAAGTGATGCTAAGAAACAATTATTCATCAGCAATTTACCTGCACAGAGGCATGCAATTTCAACAGGTACCATTTCAGTCCACATTGAGGCATAATGGGAGTTTATTCTCAAAATTTGTAATAATACATTGCTTTTATCATTATGAAATCCTGTGTGTAATTTGCATACAGTCTAGTTCCTGCTATGGTTAATGCTTTTGGTACAGTTTGCTAAAAAATGATTCAGAGCACTCCTCTCTTACAAACTACTTTAAATGCTTACCAAGGAGTGAAATGATCACAGATTTTTGTGTGGTCTTTACAGAGGCAATCATCACAAAAAAAAAAATTATGCGAAGAAGAAGGATTATCACTTGTGTTTTTCAGAAAAAAAGAAACCTGAAAACCCTACAAACACTTGAGACTTCCCAGTTACTTGGAAAATGCTATGGCATGTAAGCTGATCACTTCATCACAGGCATTACTGTTGTTATTACCATAGCTTAGTTTTTATGGCACTGTGGCAATAGAATAGTTTCATCTGAGCAGATAAGGCACTAAAATTTAAGGATTAAAGGTTTGCATTTCAAAGATTAACATGACGTTCACAAGCACTATAAAAGTAGAGCAACTAGGGCTATTACTGCATCTTCTTTAATAAAACAATAGCAACTAGTTTTAACAAATTGCTGGACTGACATCAAAATATTTGATTTTAAAATATGTCTCAGCCTAAATAGATTGAAAACTTTTGGAAGTAAACTCTTGAAATTCCTTTCATTCTGATCCAGTATTTGGTCTCCTAGACTTCAATTTAATCCAGATGCCTTTATTTGGACGAAGAATCAATTCTCCACATAAACCAAGCTCTTCTGGCTTTTGACATGATTCCACCCAAAAGCGCCGCAGGATGAGGGCTAGAAGAGTTTTCTCCTCCATTTGTGCAAAGCGCTGACCTATGAGTTACAGGGCAGGAAAAAATTAGTCATTGTCAGGTTGCATCAACAGCTGCTGCACTTGCATGCTCACAGGACTTAAGAACAGAACAAGCTTTAGGCCAAAATTAAGGTCATATGCATACAAGTAACACTAGCACTTTTCTCTGCATGAAAACTCTAGACTTCTTGGGATAATCCACAGTCCATCCTCCTTCCCATAGTACACAGAACTCAAACAGCAATGTGGAAACAGTCAACCCTTCATATGGAACTACTACAAAAAACAGCCTGGTCATATCTCTTGAAAGGACTTGGCAGGAGGGGTGGATAGCAGAGCAGAGCAGAAGATGCAGCACAGGGACTGTGGGGAGAGAAAAATCTCATGGTTCCATATATGTGGAGAGGAGCAAAGGAGATGCAACTGCAACAGAATGACAGACAGACCTTCCTTCAGTGATCATTAAGCCTCATACACCCAGATGATTTGGTAGCACAGAGGGCAAAGTTCAATTTACAATCCAGAGACAGGTGAAGGCAGAAACATGAGAACAGAGAAACATGAAGGACGCCAAACCAAGTGCCACAAGGTAGTTCACAAAAACTAAAAAGTGGAGATGGGACACAAAAGGCAGGGCTGAGAACTTTTTAGGTTCTCCCCTCTGTATTATACACACAGATTATATACACAGAAGTCTGTACATATGTACACACAATGCACTTTTGCAATTATACTAATGAAACATCTCTCCTGCACATGGTTCCTGCACACTCAGGAACTAGCTAGACATGTTATATTAAATTAGATTTCTCTTTGGAACAAGGAAAGACCTAGGTTACTGCTCTTATGGAAAAGGGCACCTACTACCAATGAGACAAATCAAAACACATCAATCGCATCCCCCAAAAACAGAAACCAAACCAAATAAACAAAACCAAAAAAACCAAAAGAAGTAATATTTCCCATTATCGTAACAGCATGACAACTTTTGGATGCTCCCCATCTACACTTAAAATCAGTGTAGGGAACAGTTTTTTCACATGTTCTACAATATAAACAACACTGCCTCTACTTGAAGCACACATAAAATCCAAGCGTCACAGTGGCATCTGAAAGTGCTAATGAGTTCTGGGATGACAGAGAAAACACCAAATCAAATACAGTGTCAGAAATAGGGAAAGAATACATCAGTTGCAGATTGCATGCTTTGGACATCCAGCTCAGAACCTGAGAGAGACAGATGAACTGTTTCCAGAGCAAAACAGGTGCAGGACATGTGTCTTCTCTCATTCTGTGTTGCTGACATTGAGAATCAGAAATTAGGAAGCAATCATGTCCTAACACAGGAGCCCAATAACATGCTTCCAGGCTGCACAGCAGTGAGGAAAAAACATCAGCAGGAGACACACTTGTCCCTAGGAAGAAAGGAAATCCCTCGGAAGAAACAAATGGGGCAGCTCAACAGCATCAATATGAGTCTATGAATTAAACTCTTCTGAGAGAATTCAGGTCCATCTAATGGAAGTGTGTGGCCTGCAGGACACACTGCCCAGATTCAGAGGTGGGGAATGAGGAAGAACACTATACAAACAGTACTCGTTGCTGTCTCAGTTACCACATTCAAAAGCAGAACCTTACAAGGGCTTCCTCTCCAGATACATACCAATGCAGTTCCTGGGACCAGCTGAGAAGGGCACATAAGCATATGGGTGCCTTCCCTTAGAATTTTCAGGGAAGAATCGCTCAGGCCTGAACTCCTCCGGGTCAGGGAAGACCTCAGGGTCTCTATGCAGGGCATAAGTTAAAACTACGACATTTGCACCTCTTGGTACCTGATATCCCCCTAAAGAGAGGCGAGAAAGGGAGAAGAAGAGTCAAAAAACCAACAAACAAGTGACTTCCTACACACAACAGAACAGTAAAAAATAAAACAATGCTGCCCTTTTCTTGGGAAACATCTCCACTGCAGAAATGCTAACACAAGAGAAAGTGGCAAAGACAGAACACCACTTACTAATGCAGCAATCCTCTCTCAAGGTACGGGCAAACATGGGAACTGAAGGGTAGAGACGAAGAGCTTCTTTCACAACACATTCAAGGTATCGAAGATTCTTCAAATCCTCCGTTGTAATGGGACGTTCAGTATTGTCTGTCCAAAAACAAATAGAGGGATGACCAAGACCAAAACTCCCCATCTTTGGCTAAACAAACTCATCCTGGATCCCCCCAGAAACTCTCATCATGCACCAAGACTACATACAAGAAGGTGTTACAAACGTATTATACATGCATATCTTGCCCCAAAGACATAAGTTTGGTTGTACACCCCAACAGACCTTCCCACACCCATCCCAAGCACCTCTAACTGCTGAAAGTTCCAGAAGGGCCACAAGGCATGCTCTTAAATCCCCTTCTACTTCTAGGCTTTTAACACATTTCCACTCACAAATGCAGCAAAACCCCAATGAAGGGGGAATGGAGACTTACCAAACACCTGGTCCAATTCCCTGTGAACCTTCTTCTGAATTTCCGGATTATGTCCAAGCAAGTACAAGACCCAGTTCATAGCAGCTGCTGTTGTATCATGGCCCTACAGGTCCAGATTTACAAAGACATTGATTTCAACTCTACTCCCATGTACCAGCGGACTTTGTAAATACTTAGATGTGCAGTTAGTATGAAAAGTGAGACTTATTAGGCCCATCACCATGATAAAAACAAGAATCAAGAGTGAATTATTCAACTCACTAGCTATCAGGATAAAGGTGATCCACAATTGTTCTGACAAAAGAGGAAAGTATTGAAATAACCCAAGCAAAATCCCTTTCTTCTGATTCTCTGGAGCTGCATGAACTATCAGTATCTACGCAATTAATCAGCTGTATATTCATCTTTTTGATTACCGTCCAGTCAACATCTAGGGGGAGGCAGTGACTGTCACAGGAGAGATACAATGGACACAACTTGTAACTTTTTCAAAAGTATCTAAAAATTGTTTTATGAGACACAATACAGTAGCCATAGAGGAAAATACTTGGTTTTCTGTTGGAAGGGAATCAATTAATAATTCCCAGCACTGTGGAAAGGAGAGACAAAATAGGAACCAAAGAAGGGGGGGAAAAAAGCCATAAAAAAGGGAAGAATAGAAAAGGGAAAAGTTGACCAAAAAAAGGATTTTGATAGTAAAAAAGCACACTTGTGGTGAAGTTCAGGATGCTGCTGTAGTACAGAAATGGCAAGATGAGAAGAGAGTTTCTTCAGGTTACAACAATTATAATATGATTCTATGAATTAAGCTCTTCTGAGAGAACTCAGGTCCATATAATGGAAATGTGTGGAAAACTCGTGAAAATCTTCTTCAGATCCTCCCTTGGGGAATCAGACAAGAAGAAGGGCCTTGAAGATAATCAGAGGGATGGGACACGTCTCCTTTGAAGACAGGCTGAGAGAGTTGGGATTGTTTAGCCTGGAGAAGAGAAGGCTCTGGGAAGACCTGATTGTGGCCTTTCAGTACTTAGAGAGGACTTACAAAATAAAAAAAGAGGGAGTGTGACATTTTACATGAGCAGGTACTTATGAGCAGGAGAAGAGAGAATAATTTTCAACAAAAAGAGAAAAATTTAGATTAGATGTTAGGAAGAAATTTTTTAGTCAGAGATTAGTGAAGAACATGTTGGCTAGAGAAGTTTTGAATGTCCTGTTTCTCAAGGTGTCCAGGGCCAGGTGGGATGGGGGCCTGGCAATTAAATTCCTGAATTGCCAGGCCCCCTGACAAATTGATGACATCCCTGCCCATAGCAGGAGGGTTGTAACTAGATGATTTTTAAGGTCCTTTCCAACCCAAGCCATTCTAGGACGAGTTTCTCCACAATGAAGCACTGATGCACAGTGGACAACAGAACCCGAAGACTGCAGGCAATGTAGCAAGGGAAAAAATGTGAGATGACATGACAAAATGCAAGTCAAAACGGTGAAACTATTTAGAGCTCTCTTCAGTATTAATGAAGTTTGCAAAAAAAGGCAAGAGCCCACGGTCCATGTCAGCCTTTAAGTTTTCAGTTCTCTCCTGCTTTCATGAGTAGACCCTGCTCACACAGGCAGGGTCTACCACATGTGCGTTGTCCAAAGTTTTTCCAGGGCATACCAGTGCATCTATCCTACCTCTGTAGAATAGAAACATTGAGATTTTCTCTTAGGCTTCCAGGGCTTAAGTAACATCATGCTAAAAGCAACCTCCTGAACTATGGCAAGAGTCACCACCTGAAAATTCTGAATCTTGGGTTTGGAAAGAAAAAACCAAACAAAAAACCCCAGCAAATAATACCTTCCAAAATAAAAACAACAACAACGGAAGAACAATAAACCAATGAGTTCTTTGGTTACCTCAAACATGAAAGTATCCACTTCCTCACGAATGTCCCTGTAGCTCAATTTTTTCCCTTCATCATCTGTTGCACTCAGCAGCATATCCAAGAATGCTTTTCTCTTTTTGGAACCACTTTCTTCAGAGTTACCATCATGTTTCTTTTGCTGGGTGTTTTTAAGTTCTTCAGCTTTTTCTGCAATGACCTGAGATTAGAACCATTATATTAGATATGATGAATTCAGCACAAGCTCACCGTCTGCCTCATAGAGTTTTGTCCTAACTTATCAAAACAACTTCCATCTGTAGCACTCTACACAAGCTGGTTAGCACAGCTGTGAGCATTTAATTTAACTGACTTTTTATTAGCAGTGAATTATGACCAAACTTTCTTGCCCCTTGAACAGCCTTTGTGCAATCAAGAAAATAGATAGCCAAACTACATAAACAACTTAGGGGCCATCAAGAAGTGTAAACATATCCAGAGTATCTGGAACACAACAATAATGAATGCCAACAATGATAACAGTATATCAAAAAAATCACCAGTGTGACCACATTAATCACCAATAAGATCTTCTCTATCCCATCTGAGAACTAAGATCTCAATTCCAACCTCCAAAAAACTCAGGAAACAGAAGAGGAGCCAGGGCATCCCAGAATGATGTGTCAAGGCTACACACAGCGTTGCTGAATTCACTACACTAAAGCTTCCCAAATTCTCTCCAGTATGAGAGCAATGGCTGAATTTCCCTTTTTTAGGTCAAAGCACAGACCCAGTAACAGACATAAATTTCTTATTGCTGCAATTGTTGTTGCAAAGTCAAAACAGAACCCTTCAACAAGCTGGCATTGCTCTTAAAAACAACAAAATAATTTAAAAGGGTGTAGAGTATGCATTTCTGTTTGAAGGAATCACTGAATGGAAGAAAAAAATACAGTTCCATGCACACTCATGGTTTTCCTCACTGTACACACACATGTGTCATATATTGACTAATCCTTCACCTCAGTGCTTGGTCTCAGCACCTACACAGGTGCAATTATTATTTATGGTCCTTTGTCATCTTCTATGATTTGGTTGCTTATATTCTTCAGTGCACCAGCCCAGCATGGGAAGAGTACAAGTGTTAAGAGCCTCTCTCATGACTCACTGCTGCAATTTCCAATTAAAGGAAGCAAGAAAAAACAACACAATGTGGCTCATTATATGTAGCCAAAGATCAAAGATTATTTCCTTTGTCAAAGACATTGATACAATGACATCATGGGGTACATGCATAGGGAAAGCAGCCTCTCTGATAACATCCTAATAATAGATTTGGGAGGGCAAACTTTGGCAAGAATAATGTAGGAATTATTTGGTGAGAGAAAGGGCTGTTACTTCTAGAGTCTAACAAGGTGAGAGAACACTTTATTTTATGCCAAGTGAGTAATGCATGCTTAATGATTTCTGTATCAGAGTGTCTTACTGCTGATGTGGGGACCTGCATGTGTTTGCTCCTCTCAGCAGTTCTGTTCTGAATAGGGGAAAATGAATACAGGCTTCGGTTTCTGAGGGCTGAAACCAGTGGCACTACCATGCAGATCCCTATGTTTAGCTCACTGCTCCAAACTTGGCAGTGAGCCAGAGCATGTCATCCAGATGTGGAGCCTTTCAGGCAAAACAAGAGTTCAATGAATTTCTGTTGTTTGTTTCAGTTGTCAAGGACCTGCAAGTTCTGGCACTCCGTTGGAGTAGCCTACTTTCTTGCTTAAATTAAGCAGAGATCTTAAAAGGGAAGTTAGCTCTTGTCTTCTTTTCAGGGAATTCCTCAGCATCACAATAGAGTGACAGCATATCAAGGAGGCTGAACCTCATCCCCATCTGGAAGATCTGAGTGCAAAACGTTAATCCAACAATGAAAATTATCATTATAAATATTATAATTAATATTTTTTTAAAATACTCTATACCGTATCTGTAAAATTGTGAAGGATGTTGAGCTTCCTCTTGTGCTCTCTTCCTTCTTTGAACAATACATACAAAAAGTCAGGCCAAAGCCAAGGGCTCATCTGTCGCCGTTGGATTAGATCACTCATCCTAGGGGCAAAACAATTTTATCATGTAACATTACTTGACAAAAACAACAAATTATAGCACATTTCAAGAACAACAAACAAACAAAAAAAAAAAAAAACTCACCAACTTCTATGTACCCTAATGAAGTAGAACTTAACATATTGTGTAGCTTTAAACCCATTATCTGAAAGGAAGGCCATTCTCATTTGTGTCTTGATTTTAGACCATCTCAAAATTTCTGTTATTTATCCCAGCATCATCATGTTTTATTTCTTTAAGTATTGATCCCTGAGAAGGACAGCACATTCTCATTTAATCTTGAATCCTCTTGAAACAGTCCTATTAAGTCATCAAATCCCATCACATTCCCACTTCAGCAAAACATTGGCAGTGTTGTAAAGACTACTCATGACAGGCTCCCAAAATACCTGTCCCAAGAACTCAAACAGTTTCTGAGACCATTGCATTCCTACTTGAATATCCAGACACCAGACCACACATTAAAGGACTTAAAATGTATTTAAAATGAAAAATATGAGACTTCAAGTATGCTCCAACACAAGTGGAGTACATTTGGAAGGGCTGATTGTCATTGCTATTCAGCTCTTGCACATGCTTTAGCTGCAGAGGAGTAATTATTACCGACTTCAAGCACACTTGTGCTACAATTTGGAAAAGGCCAAGGAACCAATGATAATCAAACCCTTCAGATCTACCCCTGTTTTTTATCACACCTGTCTCAACAAGCTCCATCAAAACTTAGGAGTGAGATCATAGAATCACAGATTCATTTAGGGTGGAAAAGACCTTTTATATCATTGAGTCCAACTGTTAAACTAGTGTTAACCCAGTCCATTGCTACACCATGACCCTATGTGCCACAGGAACATGTCTTATCAACCACCTCCAGGGTATTCAGTGACTCAGGATTAGTCTGTTCCAATGCTTTACATCCCTCCCTCTCTGACTCCCTGGCCTTCCTTCCTGACACCAGCAGCATTAATTCCAGCTCAACTGAAAAATAACTAGGGAAAATGTGTGTTTACCTGTAGATAGCAGAAACATAGTCAGAATCCTTATTCTTCTGGGCACCCACATTCCTGCCCATTGCTGTTTCTAGAAAGAAAACATCAACATTTCACAAGTACAAAGTGAAATGCAATGTACACAATGAGTTACTACTACTCCCAGCTTCTATCACCACCATCCCTTTGACAAGTGAATGCACATATCCCTTTGAGCTTTCTTTGTAGTTCCATGCCCAGGAATCCTGCTCCTCAAGAAAACCTCACTTCAGACTGCTACCCCTGTCCTGCCAGTCCCAAAACTCAGCTGCTCAGTTGCAAGTAGTAAACCCTGGGAAAAAGGTTGGGAAGGATGAAAATGTATTTAAAAAATATGCAGGGACATTTCTCTTCAATCATCTTACACAAACTGGCACAGCTAAATTCATGATCTTCTGCATCATTCAGAATTCTACCACAATAACTGAACGTGACTTACCACAAATAATATCAAGGGCACACAGAGTGATGTCCATAAAGACATCAAATGGCTCCTTGTCAACATGCTTCTCAAGTTTCTTCACCAAAATATTTCCTTGTTCATTCATGACTTCTAGGAAGTCACTCAAGATTGCAAAGTGGAATGTGGGAGTTATCATCTTCCTCCGTGACCGCCACTTGTCTCCAGTGCTATAAAATTAATGGGGAGCAGGAAGGATAAAAAACTCCAAGCCAAAAATAATATCCTCACCATTACAGGAAGTACCCAGTGAATACTGCAGCCTGGAAGAGATGGACACACTGTAGATGTCTCTTCAAGCTGTTAATAGCACCCCACAGAAGCAGCAAATGGAAATATTTCTTGCTCCAGGTCTCTTGGAAGCAGAAGCCACCATTTCTTCAGCTGATCTCAACCAGTGGAAATACCAAAAAGCCTCCAGACAGTACATCCTTGTTAGTCAGTGCACAGGCTCAGAGGGACCAAGCAGAAGCCAGCCAGAGGCCAAACCAGCTATTCAGCATCAAGGCCTCAACCACCCCACCCTCTCTCTGAATCAGTGGTTGTGCTTGCCTCCATTCACTGACCATGAAATGAGGCCTGCAGAGAACTAGGGCCTAGAGACATCATGAAAATTACTGCCTCAAGGCACGGCTACAATCTACTTCCTTGGAGACAGGCAATCACTTCCCACATGCAAGTGACAAGCATGGAGCCATAGTGAGTGTCACCAGCTTCCTGGGGGTCCCTGTTCACTTTTTCTAAATAACGTGCCCCAGCTGGTACTTCTGCTTACACAGTAAAACTATCACACCACTGCCCCTGTTAACTTGCTATTAGGGCACTCCACAGGCCAGCATAATTGCTTGCTGTCTGCCACTGCTGCCCTAATCAGCAGAGACTGGAACATTCTGGAACATTCTCCTCCTTCTTGTGTTTTTGCAAGCACAAGAAAGTCAAAATACCTCTGTACATCTATGGAAGATAAAACAACCAGTAAGGAAGAACAGTGAGGATACACCATGCCTGATGCTCATGGACTTCACCTCTGCACTCTGCTACTGATTAATTACTGCCTTCTTACAGGCCATGAACATAACTCAGGATAAAATGCATGCCTTGTCCTCTCATGTGAACTTGTATTTCCCATACCATATGATCACAGCTGGCTTTTACAATACCATGGTCCCATCATAAAGCATGAGGAGTCCACCTCTGAGGGCTCCAAACAAGCAACAAAGTTAACCACTAACACTGGGACCTGGACCTTTTTTCAAAAACCCAGAAGAGGCTCAAAGGTACCAAAGACAATCTATACTTACCTTGCTCTGACTATTGAATATCTGCATCATCCAAACCAATCCTTCCTTTGCCCTTCCAAGACTGGAGGACACCAAACCCTTATACCACTGCTCCTCCCTTTCTCCACTCCTGATTTATGCTTCTACCCAGGCTCATTTCTCACGACCCTCTACTTCATGAATGAAATAAAGGAAAGGGTGCACATACTCTCCAATCTACCCCAAAGCATCACCAACCTCAGGCCTATCCTACTGGTCTGCAATATGACCAGCTGAGATAAGCTAAGCAATGCACACAATCTCTTTGTTCAGAAATACATACAGCATTCCTGCCACCAAGACCTCTTCTTATCAGATACCCTGCAAATTTCAAAAAGGCAGCAGTGCACCTTCACTTCATTTTACATTATACCTTGTCAGAAGTCCAGTGCCCAGCCATGGATGCAGGAATTCATATAGGTATGATTTTTCTAGAAGTTTTGAATTGTTCAGAATAACCTGTCAGAAAAATGAACAGTGAGGAAAAAATATTACTTATTAGATGGAGAGAGATTTCTTCACTATTTCTTCAATAAACACTCCAACAGAGAAACAACGCTGTCTTACTAGATCAAGGACAATCACTGTCAGCAGCAAAACTTATGACTATATTTCATGGCATCAAAACAGACCCACTAAGTTTTAATGCAGAATTCTGTCAAAGAGACACAAGCATTGCAACCTGAATTTCATAATGTTCTATCCTTATTTCAGTGGTCCCATATTCCCTGCTATCTGCTTGTTTGTTCCGATCTTGGGAGCAGAAGCTTTCACACATGTGAAAACCAAGCTAAAGGAGATGCTTCTTTGAAGCATTCATTTTCAGGTCATCTTCAATATTCCCCCCCAATGCCCTCTGACTATGCCTTTTTATATTCCTTTACTTTAGGCCTTTGTTTACCACTAACTCAGAGGACTATCCCAAAGCAAATCACTCCAAGCCCCTTTTAACAAAAATTACATTGAGGTAATAGAAAGTAACATATTGGGCACTGCTCTGCATCCAAGTAGAATAGACAGGAGACCAGCACACTCACCTCCACACTGTCAGGGTGATACAAAAATATGGCAGGCACTGGTCCTATCCAAAGTTTGAACAGTGGCCAACTTCTGAACTTTTCAGTATAAAACTCTATCTGTTTAAAAAAATCTGGAATAGAAAATCAGAGTAGAGCTTCAACAAGGGGGATTTACAAAATAAGCAAGGCTTCTGTAATGAACTCTAGCACCATGAGCCCTGCAATTATGATTTTCTTGTAGTTTTAACCTGCTGCTCTGACCTATTAGCATATTTTACACCTGTGGATTGTACAATTCAGGTATCCTAACCTCTTCAGGCACAGAAGAGCACCATTTATGCCACAAATCAACCTGAGGGATACCACTGCTATCCAGCTGCCAGTTGGACTTCACACCAGTGAGCTCAGCAAACCAGTAAATATTCCTCCCCCATTCTTTTGCAATTATCCAGTCCACATCTTGTCAATTCAGCTATACAGAAAGCATGGGAGATAGCTGAATCTATTGGCAGGGTAAGAAGAGTCGATGGTGTTTGATTTACTTCTAAAAGGTCTTTGACACTATCTCATCACAGAAGACAATCAGGTTCATTCCAAAATATTAGAGTGGGGGCCTCTCTCAGGATGTTCAAGGATTAAACACTTCTTTGCCCTTTCAGAAACAAGCTTAAACAAATGATACCTTTACAAGCCTGTGCAGAGTTGAAAATTCAAAGGTCTCCAATTCAAAGATAAAAAAAAGAAACATAAAAAATTAGTTTCCTAATAGATGTCCAAATACAGCTTTCCCTAGACTTACAAAAAGTTCTAATGGCACCTCATTCACCACGATTCAGTGTCAGATTATTTCACTATTTTTAAAATATTTTTCCAAACGTTGCTGTGATTAAAATAGCACATCTTCCAGCAACTGTCTAGTAATACCAACTTAAAAAATCTTTATCATACGAAAAGTTATTTTCATTCCTGTTATAGGACCTTTTTAAAAGTTTTTTTTGTTATATTTTTAATGAAAAAGATTATAAACCACAAACGTCACTTTTTTTTCATAAATAAACAAGAACAAAGAAGGCTGGACACGGGAGCTATGTGATTCCTTAACTAAAACACGGGAGCTATGTGATTTCTGCTAACAAATGAGATTAGGGACTACACAGAACATTAGAGTTCACATCACATTGCTTTCTGGAGACAGAAGCAATGTTCCAGTTTGCTTTGGATTTTTAAATTTTTTTCTTAAAAGAGGATAAGAAAAAAAAAAAAGGATTAATCTCTCAGTCCAGCTCATATAAACATCCTATCATCCTCCTACTGCTTCCCCAAAGTCAACTTTGTGGAAATCTGCCTGCCGTCACATCCACCACAGACATCTCATATTTGTCCTTAGATATGGGACTGGATCCAGAGGAAAGATATGACAGTGTGCCTTGTGAACAGAGGCACCATGTCTCAGTATGGGCCAGCACTGGGCAATTTGCATTCCAATGCTGTACTCTCACTTGACTTCACCATGCACCCATGACCCACTGGCAGCATACCCAGCAGCACAGCCAGTAACACGTGCACAGAGCAGAACTGGCAAACACAAGCATCACAAACACATACAGAGGAGTGTGGCAGCAGACTCAGCAACACTTTCATACCACAAACTTCTTAAGAAATATGTTCCTGTTAAAATACGAGTACCAAATGGAAAGGGAACATCTAGCACATTAGTGCTCTCTCATGCACCTGGCAAAAAGAAGGTCCCATTATCCAGTTCAAGAATAAAAGGATTTGCTTTTTAGTGATGCACTATAAATGCTCAGCAAGTTCTTTCACACTCAACACATAAATCTAAGTCACAGATGATTCTGGAAGTGAGCCCAGGTAAAAAAAACTTGGCATCCTAAAGTCCCTTGCACATGCTTGCTTGGGGGGAGGTAATTGTTTCAAGGTTTGCTAGGATCACAGCCAAAAAAGTCATGAGAACCTAGTGCTCAGCTTTGTGAAGCAGCATTTCCTGCAAGACCCCACAGCACACCTCCCTCTCACACAAACACATTCCACAGCGTTCATGCTCCGCCCTGCCAACAACTAAACGGTCTGAGCCCAGCAGCAGCTGCTGTCAGATTTAACCTCCTGTTAGTCTTTGAGACCAATAATAATGCCACATTTATGCAGTTCCTCTCCTTTCCTCTTCACTGCCCACTCCTCACACTGTTCCCCTCTGCAGATTGCCTGGAGAGACCTAAAAGCAACAGCGCATCCTCTGATACCCACTCCCACAGCTCAGCCACAAAAGCACCTCACCACCACTGGCTCCTGCAGCAAACCCCAGGCAGTGCAGGGACCTCACAGCTGGGCTACAGTGGAGCTGGCATTACCTTCTCCTTTCCGCTCAAAGAGCAGGGCATTTCCCACCACAGGATAGCAGGGGCTGACACCCGGGATGGACTTCAGCATCCGCCATCGCCTCCAGTATTCCATCAGGGAGGGCAGGGAGCACACACTCACTACTGTCAAAAGCAGAGCAATGATCCCAGCTCCCCATGGCAGCAGCTGGGGTCTCCCTGAGAGTCCTTCCACGACATCCATCATCACCTCTCAGCCTCTTGCTCTGAGCCTTGATCCCTGCTGCGAAACTGGCGCTGCCTGTACTCAGCACTGCAGAAAAGCTGGCCAGAAGAGCAGGAGGCGGAGCCACCACACTGGCCACTGGCGTAGCTTTTTGCCAAGAAAATAAACAAAGTTGGAAGACACTCTTACGGAGACATTGCGTTCTAGCATTTCCCGGTGTCAGGCAAGCCAGAGGAAACAGTCACTGCCCTCATTTGGTTCAAGCCAAGTGATGAGCGAGAACGTTCTTTGCAGGCCCATGCAATACCTCACAAGGAAAAAACAAAGCACCATCAAGAGAAAAAACACCTTTTTGCTGATTTGGGATAGATGAGTTTTCTCAATATCATCTTTCTCAATTTGTTCTCAGGTGCTCAACACCATTTTGCCATAGAGAACTGCTCCAGTGCTGTCCAACATGATAACTAAAGGGCCAGATGGAGAATACCCTTTTTCAGCTGGTTTGATGGCTTCAAGGGGTTACAAAAACCAAAGGCCATAAAGACCCCTGATCAACAGCAGCACTGCAAAGCACAGTGATGCTTCACAGCACAAATAGCCTTTACTGATTGTGTTGTTGAATGTTCAGGCACAGGCTAAAGGGTGCCAGTAAAACAACGGGCAGCACTAGCACCGATGCCCCAAATTGCAAAGTGCCTGGGTACTCACAGTACCAAACCCACCATATACACTGCTGCCCCTCCTGCCTCAGGAGGATCCAGGATCTCTTCTCACTGCTGCAGGGCTACTCAGCATCTGTTTCTCAAAGTGGGTGCTCAGAAACCTTTTGGTCAAACAGAATTTTGGTAGAGGCAGCATGGTTCACAGCCAATTTACAAAACTTCACCTCCCAAATAAAGCACAAATTTTATGTGTGTATGGTCATAGTCACATTTATCTTCTTTGCTTTGTACTAAAAATGACTGCACTGACTGCAAAAGCATTTTTAGCAAATCAACAAATAGCATAAACAAAACAACTAAGATAAAAAATATAAACAGAAAGCTCAGAACATCAGAAGTTAAATAAGTTTCTGTGACCCTTGGCATCAGAGGGGGGTAAATTTTGGCACTTTGTCCTTGCAATCTCCCAGCAGAGACTATCATAAACGCTGATTGTTATATCCTTCTGCACAGTAAACAGCTTGAAATGAACTTTGCTACTCTTGCTGTTATTTGTAATGGTTTGTGACAGAAAGCAGCAGATATATACCCAGTCTTGCAAACACATAGGCAAGTTAGACAATAATCAGTCCCATCTTTTGTTCAGGTGACAACCTAGGAAGCAAGCAAGCACACAGGACAAAGAGACTCACCTTTTGTATTTTTAACATGGAGATCAGCTGAATAATTATACTCTCATATTTACAAAACGTCTTGCAGTTTGTTGCCTTAATTGCACCAATAATTAGATTAAGTGGCTATTTGTGCTTCTGAGTCAAAAATCTGTATTTCTACCTGCTGATTACTCCTTCTACAGGAAAAACAAAAAACCCAAACACCAAAAACCAAAAAAACCCTGTGAAACAGCAAGGAGAAGGTAGAAAGGCATTGGGAAAGCAGTAGGGAACACTGCAAAGCAAACATTGCAGTATCCTGCCAGCAGCTGGCAATGGTGATGATGTTAATAAAAGCCAGCAGAAACACTGGAATGAGACATAAAAGATATATACCCAAGAAACAAGAAATGAGAGGTCTAGCACCTTTGCGGCCTAATTATGTTACCAAGACTTGGAATCATAACAAAACTTGGAGGATGTTCTGTAGGAAATAAGTTTTCTACCAGATTGTGATCAGCATTTCCTTTTTACCCTGAGAACTATTGTTCAGTGTTGGATTTCTGTGAGCACTCCACTGGTTAGTGAATCTTTGCTTTTATAAATGCTTGTAACAGTGCAAACCTGCTCTTCTTCAGCCTCTTGCCTAAGTGGAAGCCTATCTACCTGTGCTGGCAGAAGACAAGCAACTTGATAGGCAGCTGTCAGCCATGAAACACAATGACAACACAGGCTTCTGCTGGTCCCTAGAATGAAGCCTGGATTCTTCAATAAGAAAAACTAATAAAATCATCATTAGCAGCAAGAAAAAAAAAAAAAAAAACAAAACAAAACAAAAGCAAAGCAAAGCAAGTCTAAAGCAGATCTGATACAACAGAGGAGGGGCGGTTCCTGCTGGCTCCACTGCAGAACATAGCTGAGCTCAGCAGCCAAGCTGGACAGAAGAGTACACAACTCATTCTGAAAAACTGTTTTTTCTTAAGAAAGGCTTTCTTAGAAAGAGCTTCTTTCTTTCTAAACACACACCATTGCAACATGATTAACCCTTATCAGAAAGCTAAAAATAATTTGGCTATTTGTAGACAACAATAGCTATCACCGAGACAAAGAAAACATAACACAGTATGTCTCCATTTCAAAATATGTCATCAGCTGGACAGGTGGAGAGCTCAGAGATCTCACCAGTCCTCAGAGAGGAATTTTAGGGCCTGATACTAAATTTCATGCCCAAACAAGGCTACTAAATCTTCATACCCGAAATCTAGTCTTCCAAGAACAAATCCCTGAGGAAGACTCCAGCTTCAAATCCTTCTGTGGGCGCTTTCTCACACAGGTAAAGGATATTAAAAGCATTTGTGAGACAGAGACCACAGCTGTTTTTCAGAGACACTGACTGGATTGATACCACCTCCATCAAGCATACCTTGCTTGGTTTCTGCAACCTAGGGTTCACTGCAGCAACTTTTTAGTTCCTTCACTACAAGACATTTTGCATGAATGAATTATCCGCAACAGAATACAAAAGCCTGCCTGCTAAGAAATCATAATCTTCCCTACCACGATAAAAATGTGACTTATAACAACAGAGACCACCACTCATGCCCCAGAACACAGACCACTGTTTCAAAGCAATTCTGATAAGGTGTTAGTTATGTTTGCATAACTAATAGACAATTAACACTAAGTAGCTACCACACCTGTGTTATTCATCAATTTTTCCAGGAAGGTGCGCACTCCCAAGCTGGCTGATCACAACTCCTCCAAGGTCACAAGTGAAGATTCCGCCCACTTCTCTGTGATTTGGCTAGATTGTACAGGGCCTCCTCTTGCTAAACTCCAGCAAGTTTAAAGAAAGAAAGTAGCAGCACGCAACACACTACATGAAGTGAGCCAGAAGTCGTGAAGAATGAATAAACAGGGCAGTTTAAGGCTAGGAAAAACTTGTGGGGCACAGAAGCACAGCACTGCAAATCTGCTCCCTGCATTCTTGCAGCATGGAAGATTTGGTATCAGGATTTGCTCTAAGAAGTTCTTTGTCCACATTTCATAGGCATGCACATAACACAGTCATAGCTGTACATCCTCTTAGAAGCTGCTGTGGGTTAGCCTTGGCCAGCAGTCAGACCCCCCATTCACTCCCCTCCCTCAACAGGACAAAAAAGCTTATGAGCCAAAATAGACTGAAAGATTGCTTATTGGTTACCATCATGGGCAAAACAGAGGCAAATTTGGAAATTCAATTTAATTTATAGGCAATTAAAAACAGATCATGAGGAAGCTAAAAACAAAGACAAAAGTTCCTCTCTGCTGCTCCCTCCTCCCTCTTTTCTTCTGCTCCAGCATAGTTTCTCCACATGCTGCTGAGGAATCTCTGCTCTGGAACCTGGAGCACTCCCTCCTCCTCCTTCAGAGCCTGGTGTTTGCACTGCTGTTTCCCACTCTTTTCCCTCCCCACACTCTCTGTTTAGCATTTTTTTGTACACTTGTAAATACTTTTTCTCTGAAGTGCCACTGGTTTGGCTGCTTAGCTCAGCTGTGTCCTGCAGTGGATCCAGAGTGGAGCCAGCAGGAACTGTGTTCTCCTCTCTAGCCTTTTCTCAGAGAGGCCACCCCAGTAGCAGCTCTGCTACTGACACCATGACATCTCTACTCAGCTGAAAAGCCTACCATGAAAACAATCACAGGACTGAAAGGGAAATTAGGGGTGAAATATCCTTCACATCACCCCCTAGTGAGACCAGAAATGTCAGTTACAAAGTGATGGATGCATGAAAACTGTCAACAACATTAAATATTTGGGAACTATACAGGTGCTTTTCCTTATAATGTTCAGGGAAGAATCACTCAGGACTAAACTCCTCCAGGTCAGAGAAAACCTCAGTAGGGCACAAGTTATAACAGATATAACAAGTTATAACAGGAATATTTGTACCATTCAATACTTGATATCTTTCACCTAGGAGAAAAGGGAAAGGAAGAAAGATCAAAACAGCAAATAGTAAGCTATCTATAACTGCTTTACCATAAAATAAAAAAGAGAAAAACCCTACCCTTTACCTTGAAACTTTCTAAGTACTTTCTCCTGCAGACATTGTAGCACACATTCCAGCCACCTCCGGCTACTTAAAACCCTAGAATGGCCACACGGTGCATTCCTATCTCAATTTCTTCAATCTTGATAAAGGAGGAATGGAAAACTTACCAAACACCTTGTCCAGTTCTCTGTGAATCTTCTTCTGGGTTTCAGGATTACATCCAAGTAAGCATAAGGCCATGGCAAGGGTGTGCAGATGAAGTTAGAAAAGCAAAACCTCAGCTCAAATGGAAATTTGTGAGATGTCAAAAACTACAAGAGTTCTTCAAGTACTATCATGGCTTAGACCATGACAAAGTACCATGCATACACCCTACCCCAGTGGAACAGAGTAGAGTTATCAGGAAAAAAATAAAACCCATGGGGTGAGAAAAGAAAAGTTTAATGATTGAAATATAATAAAGTAAAATGAAAACAAGAAAAGAAGAGAGAGGAACAAAACCTAAAAAACACAAGCAATTACACAAAACAATTCCTTACCACCCACTGACCTCAGTCCAGCCCCAAGCAGCAACAGGTCCCTTCCAGCCACCCCCCACCCCAGTTCATGTACTGAGCAGGGCCTTCTATGGTACGGAATATCCCTTTGACCAGTTGGGGTCAGCTGTCCTG